TCTTTCTGCAGTTGCTTGCTCTTTTGAGTTTACCAACAATGCAAATCAGGATCTTTATCTACTGAAACGTAACACTCCTCTTGAAGGACTCAGATCTCCATTTGTTTATGTCTCTCTTGACGGTCGTCCACTGAAATATGAAGGTATGTATGTGCGTCGTGCCCCTCCTACAAAGGAAAATTTTGTTCTCTTGAAGGCAGGTGAAAGTATTTCTGCCACAATCCAAATCACCAATGCCTTTAGCATTCATACTGATGGTCTCTACACTGTACAATACAGTAGACCTTTACAGTATCTGTCAGTGAATGAGATGAGTGCAATGTCTATTGATCAGCTCAAGGAATCGTTTGTACATAAATCCGTTCAACTTTACTTGAAAGACACTTCCGTTCTCTCGAAACCAAAGAGACAAGAAGTAAAAATCGATTACACTGTCCATCTCCAATCCTGTAGCAGTGCCAGTTTTTCTGGTGGCAAAAAACAGAACAGAGCAACACTAAGTGCTCATAAGAAGCTTTGCTCTGGATCTGATACAGCTAAAGGTAAAGTTGGCAAAGGTATTGGCATATCTACTACATGGTTTGGTAAATATAATGCTAAAAGGACAGCTAAGGCTAAGAAAGTATATACAGATATAAAAAGTGGACTAACTAAAACTGCTGTAACATACTACAACAATGGCCCAGATTGTGAAGATAACTACTATGCCTATGTATGGTCAAATATTAAAGACACTGTCTATCTTTGTAACCTGTACTACAAAATTCAAACGTCTTGCAGTAAGACTAAAGAAAGCAAGGAGGGTACTCTGCTTCATGAATGGTCCCACAGTTTTGCCAGTACTAATGATATTGAGTATGGTCGTACTGATTGCAAGAATTTGGCTAAAAACAAGCCCAGTAGAGCAGTCAAAAATGCTGATAGCTATGCGTATCACTATTGTGATGCTCAGTAATGGAGCTCATCAGCTAAAAGCCAAGAACTTTAGGACTCATGCAACACTATAGGACATACACAGTTTATTTTTAGGCCTCTTTTTGCTTAGCTATAATATTACATTTTTGATTAATTAATTATCTTGGCTTAATGATCATTAATAAAATTGAATTAAAAATATCAAAATTGAGCATATAGACATGTGACAATAAGCAAGAGTACTCTGGCAATTAGACACAGACCATACATGCATGTACATGTACATGCCATAGTTACATGTATGACTTGAACCCAATTTTTGAGTAACTTTAAAAAATTCATAAAAAAATAGTTTCAATTGGAATCAGCTCAAACTATCTACACAACATACATGTAAGTGCATGTACATGTACCGTATGGCAGAAAATTTTTGTGGCCCAAAATTTTCGTGGATTTCGCGTTTTTTTCAAAACCCATAAAAATAAAATCCGCGAAAATCAATTCTATACGGTTTAAGATGCCGAAATGTAGAAAACCACAAAAATTAAAGCCAGGAAATTGATTTTTGGACGGATCTGTGAAAATTTTGGGTCGCAAAAATTTTGGGCCACGAAATTTTCTGTTATACATGTAAGTACCATACTGTAGAGCGGGTAAAATTGGAGGGGCTAAAATTTGGCAAATTGCTAAATTTTGGTGATTGGTGGATTTTTAATTTGGCAAATTTGTGGCCACATGCCATTGAGCATGCGTATAATGGCTCAAAATGGTGGGATTTTATTTTGGCGAATGGCTATCAAAATGCCAAATTCGCCAAATTTAATCCCCTCCAAAATTACCTGCTATACAGTATTTCCACAAATAGAGCCTAGGCTCTTATTGCTTAACAGAGGAAAAATCACAACAAAAAAAACAAATGCCACAACTTGGATTCCAATTCATGACCTTGTGATATCAGGATGACAGATGAAGTTAGGCTATTTGGACCACTCTAAGCATACATGTACATGTAGTTGCACATAATACTGGGTAAATATGCATATTTATAGTTGTAATATATTAGTGATTGGCATTTATTTTGAGTAGGGCCCTTATTCAAGGAAATGCAAGCACATGTACATGTGTATCAGGAAAAATATTTAAATGACAAATTCCCTCCTTTTCAATTTAGATGAAATTTGGCCAAATACTGTGTACTAGATGTACTGTACATGTAGTTGGTTTGTTCTGTACGTACATTATTTCAAACAGGGTTTCCCACAAAGCATGCTTAAGTGAGCTAAACAGCTGATAAAAACTACAGAACAAAATATCACATAAATATTACTTATCATAAGCCACTCATAAGAAGAAAAAAAAACTTCAGTTTCTTCAGTCACATGTCATGCTAAGGCCATTTTTATTACAAAGAAGCCACACTGCTAATAATAATTGGCAATTTTATATGCAATCTTAGCTACTTACATTTAAATGAATAAAATCTATCAAGACAACAATATCTTTGCCATGATAATAGGTATTAGTTTTTATAGCTCTTTTGACTTGAGTTGGTACAGAACTTACACTATTAAAAGCAATGAATCATGGTCATTATCTCTATCATGCTGCATGATGGAGATGAAGCCCATGATTCATTGCTTTTAATAGTGCATAAATGTAAGGGCAACTGCAGCGAGTCCAAGCACTGCAGGTGTCTCATTAAGGTATTTTTATGGCAACTACTGATAATTATTTTTATATATTTAATTATATAATTTTTTGTATAATTATATAACTATAGTTATTTCAAATATTTTTTGAGTTATGAGAAATTTTTTAGGCAGACCAATTTTTGTAAAGAAAACAAAGGCTATAGCTTATGGTTTCTTTTCCAAAAAATGGCTCCAAAATCATCCCAAAGTTTTATTATTACATTTTCTGATGCATATTGATGTTGTTAGGGACAGAATAGCCATAGATAACGGTTATGTACTGATTTGCTTTAAGGTTTATTGACTGCTTTGTAAGAAGTATTATATTAGCACTTATCAACCTGATATTACATGTAAAGATGCTATGTTACTTACAGTAAATGTATTTTTAGTTTTGTGGTTATTATTACTGTGTATGAATATTGTTATCCATGATATACCGGTAAAAGTTCTAAAGCATGCACATTCTGTGGTTGTTACTTGTTACAGTTGTTATAGTCTTATTCTTGAATGGTTTCTTTCTCTCTCTCTTCATCTCTCTTGTGTTTACTCTTTGTTATTTACCAACTTGTTGAGTTAACCAGAACTGCCTTGCTGAAATCCACCCGCAAACTCTAATAGGTAATGAGCACAGCAGCATGGCAACTGAAGCTAAAGGTGTACTAGTTCCATTCAATGGAAGCAATTATAGCACATGGAAATTACAGTGCCAGATGGCTGTGATGAGAGAAGGACAGTGGAGCATTGTGAATGAATCTGAAGCTCCTCCAGATGATGGTGCAGATGAAGCAGTTATCACAATCTATCAAGCTAGACAGGACAAGGCGCTCGCCACAATAGTTCTATCTATTGACCCGTCCTTACTCTATCTTCTTGGTCAGCTCCATAGTCTTTTAATACTCTGTCGCAAGCTACATATGCTATGACTACAAGATGGAAAGTCAGTACAAGAGCACATTAAAGAGATGACTGAGATCTTCAATGAACTCGTCATCATAGAAGCTCTACTTGATGAAGAAAATCAAGTAGTACACTTACTCGCTAGCTTGCCTTGAGTCGTATGACACACTTG